TCTGTTAGCCAGCACTCATCCTAGGGATCAGCTTAAATTGGAAGCTTAGGGTCTTCTGTTTCTTTCTGATTATACAACTTGTTATGGGCATGTGCATGGCCTCCTACTTTCCCCTGTACACCTAGGAGCTTTTGAATGTCCTAATTTTTCAAAGAAATTCTCACCAGCTTTTGCTCCCAGGCCTTAGGTGGCCTATTTTATGTTTCAGTTGTAATCTTTGCCCCAGTCTTAAGTATCTGCTGGTTTTTAGTTTGTTTGGCTTATAGTATATTGAAAAGCTGTGCCCACCACTGGTTTTGGGATTGTTGGGGTTTTTTTGAGTTAGATGAAAAAAGAGATGAGCATCATGTATTAGTCCTTCCAGTTGGAACAGACTTGCAATTATTTGCACACATAATCTGTTCTTCTACCTCTGCAACCTCAAAGTACTAGGTTCTCATACTGGGAACTGATTTTCCTTTTCAACCTGCTGCTCTACCTGTGAGGGGATAGGGCAAGGGCTAGTAAAAATGCCACAGAGCTTTCCAGGTGCCTTTCTTGAAATCTTTGTAAATCTTTTGACTGTTTTCCAGTGTTGTGTCTAAGTTGTGTTCAGTGCCTGATTTCAGTGTCTCTGAGGGAGAATAATTTGCAGTTGTATATTCCACCACTTTGTTGATATAATTGCTTTCTTTTAAAAAATTTTATTAATGATTTAATAGGAATAACATAAATTTTATCTTCTTAAATTGAAATTGTCCACTTAAGATTTATTTATTTAAAATAATTCCTGTGTATTTCTGTTTTACATCTGAGTTTTTATTACAAAAAAATTTTTTTTAAATATTCAGAGGATTAAATAAGACCATTAAATCATTAGAATGTAGATAAATTGACAATAATAGAAAAATGGAAAGTTACTAAATACATGAATTTTCTGTATTTACTTGAGTCCTGATACTTAGACTTAAATAGTGGCTCTGGATTGTAGCACAAATAGTTAGCCTACTGTTGTTTACCTGATTCCTGATACAAGGTGATATCTTTAGTGTGGCTACTGTCTTCATAGATGATGCCAAGTCTTATGCTTTGCCTTCACCATGTTTCAACATGTAAGTAGAGTTTTTAAAAAAATCATTACTTAAAATGGAATTTTAAATGTAACTGACACCTTTCAGTAGTAGTGCTAATTCATTTAAAAGACATAAAAGGTTTTATAGGTCTTTACACTAACATTTATGTCATCTTATCCTATGACAGCTAACATGTGGTTACCCATGGCTTTATTGTCAGTAAGTGTAGACCAGGTCTTTTTTCCCCTTCCTGTTAAATATTCGTCACACATTCTTGGTGACATTTCTCTTATAATTCAGAGATAAACCCTTTTAAAATTATGTCATAGTTATCAGAATTCATACCTAGTGTGATGTGATATTCTAAACTTGGTGTTTTTTGATATACACTGAAGACACAATTGAGAACATGTGTTCATTTATTAGCATTATTCTGGTTCTTCTTAACCTAACCTAGCTTAAAAAATTCTGATTCTCCCTTCATAAAGTGATGTTTGTGCATAAAAAAACACTATAGAATCTCTTGTAAACCTTTGTTTAGTGTGATCTCAACAGTGCACAGATAATTACTCTAAATACCCATCACTAAACATGACTTCAGTGAAAGCTAAAAAGGAGTGTGGAACTCGATTTTCATGTTTTCAAATTTAAGTCACCATTATATATATGATTGGCTTAATAAGTTAGATACATCTATATTATAAATTACTAGTGGAAAATACTATGGCTTTTGTATCCGCGTATGAAACAATATAACTACGGGCATTTTTTCAAATCAGCCAGCTTATATTAATTGTGAATGTTATGAACTCATTTTACAAACTTACCAACCAAAGAGAAATAAATGTATTATATAAATTTCAAACTGTAGTGGTCACAAGTAATTGATAAACTGTCTCTACAAAAATAAATGTTGAACAATGTTATATAACATATAGTAACGATACATATGTTATATATTATATGTAATTTATGTAGTTATTTAAAATTTACTCAGTTAATAAATCCAGATTATTTTATTGATTAGTTTATGTTGAATATTGAAATATTTTAAAATCACAGTTCTTTTTTAAAATTTTAGTCTTCTTAAATTACCTTTTATAAAGTAAAAGGAAGTCTGTTATCTTAAATTTCAGTATTTGTGGTGTTTGAGCATTTAAATGTCTTTGTGTAAGTTTACTTTAGTAGTGTATTTATGTATGTGTGTCTGTGTGAGAAAGAGAGAGTGTTTGTTCTGAAAACAACCTATGCATCCTGGTTACAGCTAAGGCTACCTGGGAACTTAGTTCATGAATCAAGAACATCTTAAAACATTATATTAAACTCTCTTGCACCCTCTGTTGTTATTTTTAGGGAACACTACACATACCTTCCTGTGATTATTGGTGTTAGGTTTATTATAATCCCTGCTAAAATTAATACTTAGTATATTATACTTACCTAAAAATTATGTTGATAGTAAAGTAATATTTGTTTTTAATTCTTAGTCATTTTTTCTTGTGTTACAGATATGTTTTTATTGTAAAGCAGCTTAAAAATGAAAGATGAGGCTTTCTGTTTGTCTTTGATTTTTCCTACTTACCAGTTTTAAACCCCTCCAAATGTTTCAAACAAATGACAGTCTCTACAGTATATAGCGTACTCTATACACAATTTTCCAGAATTACAAATTCTGTCTGTCTTTTTGTAAACCTTTCAATTGTCAGACATTTCCTTCCAAAATAACAGCCTGGAATCGTCTATACTAAAATTAAGGATTTATAACTGTAAGGAACAGATGTTTTCATAAACATTTGCTATAATTAATTTCAACTAGAGGATTGAAGGAACAAAGCAGTTTTCCCGCTTCAAAACTCTATAGCCTTTTCCTCTTATAGCAAACTCTGAAATCTTTTCTCTAATACTGTTTAGAGAAACAATTGTACTCCTTATTTGGTGTGTTTTTGTGAAAGAAAAAGTGCTTTTCCCCCTTACTACCATGTTTGTAGGTTACATTTAATATGATATATTCATTTCAAATCAGGTATAAAATAAAGAACACTTTTGTAATGTAAAATGATGACAAAATCTAGTAGTTTAAGAAAACCCTAAAGCCTTAATTATTTAAAGGATTTTATATTTGATCTGATAAATATCAGCAGAAGCCAAGAAATGTTCTCTTGGTGAGATTTTATGTATTTAAGTAATCATAATCTTTAGTTTTAAAGAGAAAGAAGGCTCATATTTTCAACCCATGGTATAGTACTTATTCTATACTGATTATGGAGTGTTTCACAGGAGATGTCTGCAAGCTGTTAAATAACATGTGTTGTAGAAAATTTTCATTTAGCAAGACAGAGACTAGTGTTCCTTAAATTTTTAATGTATTGTAATACCATTAGTTTTTTAAAGGAAGTGAAGTATGTTGAGTGAGTAATTTTATGGTTCCAATGTCTTCAAAGAATTAACAAGTGTATACCCAGTTAGATTGATATTAAACATTTAACTGTTTTTTGGATTATTTTCTGCTATGATAATTCTCAACATTTTCAAGTTCTATACTCCATTTTAGGATTTTTATTTAATAAGAAATACTGGAAGCACATTTTGAAAAATAGTAGAGCTAAAAGTTCAGTAAGGGGGCTCAGTTCAGTTCTCATCCTCCTAAAACTTGGGTGCAGCTGCAAAGATTTTGAAGAGAACCAACATTCTTGACTAATCTGTCAACTGTAAAATGTGCAAAGAAAAATAGGTAGCTGTCATTAAAATTACATTTCAGCTTTCAATAACCATTTAATGAGTAGTGTAATTATATAAGTATGGTACCTTAAGTACTATACTCAATAATTAAAAATAATCTCATCTTTAAAGTGAAAGCTCTGTAATTACTATTTGACTTAACCAGGACCACTGTGATGATCTTCACCGGCACCTTAGGTTGTTCAAAGTGGATTAAAAGTATAAATTAAAATTGGATATATCATTAAATTATTAAGCTTTAAGTATCATAAAAATGGATATAACCTGATGTTTGAAAGTTACATTACAGGAATTAGGAGTATAAAATATAATCAGATTCTAGTCATTTAATGTGTTTCTAAAAAAGATTTGTTTTATAGTAGCTACTGTGGTTTCATAAAGACTATACTTTGCAGTATATATTTTAAATTTTAAAATATTAAAATTAAATTTTTGTCGATAAGAATATATATTTTATATCATGGCATTGTTAAGCATTTTTAAACTCCTTTAGCAAATTTATTTTTTCTACAATTTTAAACTGATAGGTATGAATTTGTTCTAAATCTGATTTTATGAATATGCCTGTTGCTTGGGTGAAAATATTTCCCCTGAATGTTTGATGTTATCACGTAAAGCAGAAATAATCTTGATGTTGCTATTTTTTAAATTTTTTTAACTGCTGAGCTTTTGCCAACAGGTAAAACCTAAAATTTTGGGAAGAATATTAAGGTGTACTTGGAGCTCACTGGAAGGCATAATTGTTTACCACCTCCCACTTCTGCTTTCTTCTCTACTTCTGTGCATAACAAATTTTCAGATAGGCTGAACTGGGGGCTGGAAAACATTGCAGGTCTGCCCTGTGCCTCCTGACTCTGACACCCACCAGTGTCATGGTGCGTGGCTTGGTCATTGGCAAAAAGTTGTCCTTCATTTATAAACATTAGTGAATGATTTAAATGGTTTATAAATTTTGGCTTGTCTCTGATTCGTAAGAGAAAAAAATCTGTACCATTCTTTATTTGTTCCTGTTAGCAATTACTTTGGTAGTATTTCTATCCAAGTTAGAAGCAGTGGTGTTGGTTTATATGTTAGCATCGAAATAAGTTTTCAGCCTAATGGGCTCTGATTATAAAAGACATTTGGGGGAGCTTTTCACATAGTAGCTTTTCAACTGAAATATTCTGTTTTATAATCTCCATTATTTCAATGTTTAATTTTTTTTTCCAGGAGACGCAAATAAAAATGGAAGAACAAGTTCTACATTAGATTCTGATGGGACTTTTAATTCTTATAGGTAGGTGATGAATACGTTGATACATACTATTACAAGATAATGTACAAGTTACCCAATCTTACAGGACTCAGACCTTACAGTCGTAAGGAACTGTTGCCTGTGCTTTAAAAATATGACAAATGTAAAAATACTATGATAAGCAATAGTTCTGCATATTTAGTGAGTAATAGAAAATGCAGTATTCTAAATTCTTGAGTAAATGGACTTATTATTAGGTATCTCTTGTTAATCTATATTAGGATAATTGGAATGAATATACATGTAGTATTAAGCTTCATTAAAATCCATTTTTATTTTTGTTTTTTCAGTATATCTGTTACAGTGTGAAAGGCTTCCTTTTCTTTAAGTTTTCTGTGAAACGGAGAGTACTGTTGATGAGTAGCTAAGAGAAGGGGATAAAATGTAATCCGGTACCTGTTCATCAGGTGCTGTTTGTTAATGTCCCGTTTGGCCCTTCAGCGCCCAGGGCAGTTATGATCTCAATTAGTGATTTTAAAAAAGGATACATTAGTTAAGAAAATGTGTATCTTAGCTAGTCTTTGGGTACTATTCTCCTTTTAACTTGAATTTGCTTGAGTGTTTATGGAATTTATACCTTCATAACAGAGAAACCTAGAACAAAGAAAGAGTAAAGTATTTCCAGTAATATTTGAAAATTTGTACACTGAACCAAAATGATGTAAAAACTAGGTTTACTTGTAGGGAAAAACCTACAGATTCAATAATAGTACATCTTGGTGTTACAGATAGCAAAGCAGATAGTTGAAGTATTTTCATTGGAGCACACCGCCCTCAGAGTTACATGGATCTGGTACTTGTGCAATGGCACCATAAAATACATACAAGAGCCGTTGGACACTTGGAAATTCATGTGACTATTGAGCTGTCACACCTTCTTTTACATAATAAATATGGATTTTACACTTAGAATTTTTATATTTATTTGAAATCATACTCTATGTCCCTAATTGGAACTGTGTTATTTGTTTTCTCGGATTCCAGGCAAGCTTTTAACATCTAGAGTAGGGTCCTGTGCACAGGAAGCACTTAATAAGAATATGGTCCATGTAAAAGATTTTACAATTTGTTTATGAATTCCAGAAACGAGATGGTAATTGAAACACTTGACATCTTTATTTTATACCAGTTGGGGTCTGTATAAATAATCAGTCTTTCAAGTGTCATGGATACTACAAAAGGCTTGTGTTCCCATGGTGTTCGAGAAGGTATTATCACAGCAGTAAAGATCATACGTTGTCATTATATTTTCACTGAACCTGTTCTACCTTATAAATGTTGAAATTCTCCAGATTGTTCATTTTAGTGCTCAGTTGTGATATAAACTTAAAATTTGACATATTAAATAATACGTAGAATCCTCCATCTGAACATATTATAGCTGATCACTCAAAAAAACCAAAGGTGAATATAAATGATAGTTAAATAAATGTTCATGATTTGGCATGTAACTGAGAATGTTAATATGATAATTTATATGAAATCTATGGCGGTAACAATAATGGTAACATTATTAGATATAAAAACAATAAAAATAACCAAGACAAAAGGAAAATAAAGATATATTTCAAAGAAAGGAAAATCTATGTGTATATAAATTCAGTTGGTGAATTATATTTTACAATTACATTTATAATATAGCTAATTATTGTAAATAATGGGCATAATATAAAGTTAAGAGATATGTGTTAATGTGAATGCACAGTATTATCTTGTAGTTTATTTTCTTGAATAGTTTGAAGATAAAGGATCTTTTATTGAATGATAATTGTATTTTGAAAATGAACTCCTAATGCAACTTTGCACAATAAATACTAATGTTGTTAACTAATATATTTTTAATCAATGCCTGTCAGTGTTGTAATGTTAGGATATTAATTTATTGTTGTAATTAAAAAGGCAAGATAAAAAGCTCACGTAGTACAGTCTATAAAACAAGCTTTTAATAGTTGGCAGGCCAGTGCTGTTATTAAATAGTATTATAGTATTTAAGGTGTGAAATGAATATTTTTCTACTCAGCAGGCAATAGCTCTTACAATATAATGAGCTTACTTGTGAATTTGACACTTGGGTTAAATGCAGAATTTATAGAAGCACAGCTCTGGGGTGTATTTTCATATTAAGGTTAACTGATAAAACCTAGGCATTGTTGCAGAATCGCACTAAAATGGCAACAGAATTGTCAGTAAAATTCACTTTTGAAAATGAAAATTATTTTTCCCGCCATCATAGCTCTTTTAAACTGACTAGAAATAGGCCATTAGAAAAATGTGAATATTCTAAACCCTCAAACATCCTAACAGTTCCACCTTTATATTATTTAAACTGCCCCAGAAATCCTGACCACCCTTCCCAGCTAGACAATTCGGGCTGTCAGCTGAGTATGAACATACTCAAGCTGTATCTACTTGTGTCCAGGATAATGATTAGCCTTAGTTTGTCATCTATTAAATGGATGCTTCCTGTTCACAACTGTTTTAAAGACTGAGATAAAATGCATAAGATAAAGCCTTTTGAAAACCTAAATGCAGAGCCATGGCATTATTATTATTCCTTTGTGCTTGCCTGAAAAATTGTCAACTTTGTAGCCTTAGTCCTCATGTAACCCTTCACCAAGTGGACCCTGTCAGAGCATATGCCGAGGTTTTATTAACTTTTGATTTTGTCACCTAAATCTCTTTTTTCCATTATTTGTTTCTATTACTGTGGTCTATAGATTTTCAGTTTCAGGAGGGTGTAGTTTGTTTCTTTCACTGTTTTGTTCATTAATAATGCCCAAACACAGCGAGTTGGTTCAAATCCTGATTCTAAACACTTCGGAGACTTTGGACAAGTTTTAGCCTCACTTTCCTCATCTTTAAAGTGGCAGTAATGAAACTCACTTCAGAAGAGTTAATGGGATCATGTCACTAATGTCACGTGGCAAATGCTGAATACATTTTATCTTCTAGTCAATGTCATGTCATTGTCATCATCATTATCTTTTTGGTAATGTAAAAATTTTATTATAGTGCTCTACTTTAGAGACACCAAAAGGAAGATTTCTGAAAATGTGTCTTATGGGAAAATGTCTTTGGTCTGTTAGTGGACCTAGCGGACTTTGGTCTGTTAGAGCTAAGAACAAGCCTGCTTGAAACTCTCAATCTCTGATAGGGTATTATAGATTGCCTTTAAATAACAAAATTGTACACATAGTAAAGATAAAAAGAAGATGTTTTACTATCAGCATAAGTTCAGAGACGGATTTTTGGAATTTTGACCCAAAATTGTGAAATTTAAAATTGATGTACCCTAACTATAGCTTTGTGTGCCCACTGTTCATAGATTTGGTTTTCATACGCTGGGAGGTTTTACTTTGGATGCGTCTTTTGTGGTTTTTGCTTCATTGATTGAAAATAGAGTACAGCTGCAATTAACTGATAGGGTACCAGCATGATTGTTGTATGATGCCTGGGTAATAGACTAGGTCTTGTTTTGGAAGTTTTTGTTAGAATTTGATTGTATATCTCCTGACTAATTTGCAGATGACTTATTAAAATGGCAAAGGAATAAGATTTGAGGTTATTGGTTTATACATTATGTCTTGTAATATTTTTAGAGACCAATTTTAATGTTTTGGTCACATAACATGAGCTTTCTGTTTCTTAGTTAACCATTAATACTGAGAGACCCCTTGTTGGGTATGAAAGAAAAGTAGTTTGCCAATTAGCAGTTTGCAGTAGATGTTTAGCTAAGTGACTGTTGCACAAGGTCACGTGGTGGAAGGAATATTCTCAGTGCCACCCCAACCCCCTCTTCCCAAAGGCAGCTGACCTTCTCTGCAAGGAGGCAAGCCCCTTGCCAGCATATATGACTACAGACTATTACATTAATCTATTTAGCTGTAGTACCAGCTGCTTGCATGTTTTTAATTATCTTATTAGGTAGTATAACAGTGACCTATGAAATAAATTGAAGGTGAACATTTTGAAATTTCCTTTTACCCTATGTTTCTAAATACCTTTATTGATTAAAGTACAATTTCTACAAAAGTTCATAGGAAATCTACATGGTTTTTGAGTCAATGTAATGCTTTTTAAAATATACTGTCATAATTCCAACTATAGAAATACCTTCATTTTTGTCTCATTAGGTTGTGTTTATATAACCACAAATCCCTGTTAAAATTCATTGGTTTAGTAGTCAATTTAGTTGGAACACTCAGGCCAGTTATTGATATTCTCTGGGGAACTCAAAATAATGCTTAATTTCAGACATTGTCTTGGCATTCTATAAATGGCATAGGATATATTGTAAATCATTATAGCTTACTTTACAGTAAGTTTGTATATTTAACTCTGATTTTCCTTATTCTGTATATACACTAGTAAATCATCTAGCCTGCCCTCATTATTTTCAGATTTTAATTTCACATGGTACCATTTCTCAGGATATTTTCCCAACAGCTGTGCTGTTAGGAAATATGTACTGGTACTACTTTAGGTTTTGACAATTTGAGTATGTTCAGATAATACTTTGTAAATGAGTGTTGACTCCATGATACACAGTTCAGAATAACAACCAGTAGTTGTTCAATTACAAATCAGAGCCAGTAAATGAAGACTGTAAATTCAATTAGAAACTCAGGTGTCGAGTTAAAAAAATGATGGTATTTATATACAAAAGAATTGCATGTGTGTCTTTTGAGTTAGTAAATTCTACAACTAGGATAGTAAGGTGACTTGAGACTGGTAAATCTATAAACACCTTAAATACTTACAAACAACATTATTTATATCTTTTTAAAATCTAAAGAAATACTATATTTCATATTTCAAAAGAACTTTTGTTGAAAAAATAAAGGGAATTTTTTTCCTTTTCTATGGTTTTTCTTTTCTTGGTGTAAAGTTAGTGGGGTTATCTCTGGCTAGTGTGGCTCAGTTGGTTGAAGCACCATCCCATAATCAAAAGGCTGTGGGTTCAATCCCTGGTCAGGGCACAT